GTGCCCCACTTGAGTACAAATACCGCAAGGGCGGGTGTGGGTTGCACACCTTTGTCTTTAGCTAACATCATCTCCACTTTTGTAAGCTCGGACAATTGTGCTTCAATCTGAGGAGTTTGGACTTCCTTTACACCTCGGGGTGCATCCATGTACCATTCTTCATCATGAATTGAATGCTTAGAATCTTCAGTCATGTTCTTGATTAAGTTGCGGATTTCGGTTGGAGTCTTGTCGGGTAAAGACCCACCACTTGAGGCATTAAGAAGCCTTCTTTTCATTGGAGTCATGCCTTCAATGAAGTATTGGAGGAGCTGGTATTCGGTGATTCCATGTTTGGGACAACGGGCACAAAGTTTCTTAAATCTCTCCCAATACATATGAAAGGCTTTTCTTTTATGTTGCTTGATTCCAATTATCTCCCTCCGTAGGGCTGAGGCTTTCATCTCGGGAAAATATTTGTCCAAAAAGAGGCGTGCAAGATCTACCCAAGTAGTAATCGTCCCTGGTGGGAGGTCATAGAGCCAGTCTTTTGCTGCATCTTGCACCACGAAGGGGAAAGCCCTAAGCTTGATTTGATCCTCCATGACATTGTATGTTTCATGCCCGCACACACAACATGGAATTCAATGAGGAACTTGTGAGGATCTTCATTTTCCAGGCCTTTAAAGGTTGGGAGTAAGTGGATGAGTCCGGATTTTAGTTCTAGGTTGTGGTTGTCGGATATGTGATGCAAAGAGGTTGTTGAGTAACATCTTGCCTCGCCCATTGGCAAAGGGTTTGCTAAGGAGGTGGATTTGGAGGTAGATTCCCTCCATGGTTATCTCCCATGGTATAAGTAGTGGTTGAAGTTTCTGTGGGTCTAGAGTTTGGGATGTTATGAGTAAGTGAAGAGGATGGAGTGGTATTTTTGGATGAGGATGGTTGAGGAGAGAGAGAGAGAGAGAGAGAGAGAGAGAAAGAGGGTTTTTATTTCATTTTCTAACACACTTGAGAGGGGTATGTCCTCCCAAATGTTAATGACTGGAAGGGTAGATGATGAAGAAGTCCAGGAACCCGGTTGCTTCTTACGAAGCTTGGCTTGCTTCCATAACTTCTTTGAAATCTTCTCTATCTCCGAGTCAATTGGCAATGGCGAACCTGTACGGAAAGATCTATGCATAAACATGTAGTAACACCGTGTCCCCGGCAACGTCGCCAATTTGTTAGGAGTGTCAAGCCCAACAAATAAAGGGGTACGATATACTCCAAAAGAACACTACAATATTGCACTAAAAGGTAGTACAAGGAAAGTAGGGTCGATCCATAGAGACACGAAACAATCAGTCTATACCTCTTTGCGCAAGGTACTTCGGTCACCAACAGTAAAGAGGGCATTTTGGAATGCAATGATTAGAACAACTAATTACAAACTAAAGTAAGCGACTAAATAAGTGAATTAAATTCAGAAATTATAAGGATTCCAACTCTATGTATGACAACTTAGCAATGCGATTCCAAAATGACGTGATACTTGCTCAATTCTATCTAAGTTGGTACTTGAAAGTGTTAACAAGCTCTAACACTTCCCATTCACCACATTAACTAACCAAAACAAGCTCTTTGATTACCCCTAACCTTACTAACCTAATCTAAACAAGCTCCTAGAATTTAATTAAAAGATTGCATTAAGCTTTATGTGAATGCTCCCAACAACACTCAATACTCCTCACAAGCTTGGGAGTGTAAGAGTGTGTGAAAAATATTTACACTAAATTCATTCAATAGAAATCAATTTAATGCTTGTTACTTAGTCCAACTCACAAAACAATTACGGATTTTGCAAAATGTATAACTTGAATAACCTAACCCTAATTCAAATGGCCAATAAGAATCACAATTAGAATCAAACATTCGATTAAAGCAAAATCAATTTCACTAGATAGAAATTAAAAACAAACATCAAGTCATATGATTGAAATCACAACCAAGAAGTCAAAACATGAAGTTAGAGAAACTAGGGTTCTAGCCACACATGGCTAGAACAAAATCACAAGTTGTAAAAATGGAAATGATGTGCAATTACAAATTACAAATAAGTGAAATAATGTTTCCAAATAATAAATGATCAAATCCTTGCCAAAGCGTTCGAAATTCGCTCACCAATAGTGCTCTGATGTGATGTGTGTGTCTAAAAATGACCCTCATCCTGTAATATGAAAGATAGGAAAAACTGTCAAAGGGCAGTTTTTGGGTCGAACACGGCCCGTGTTAAAATAGGCTAAACTGACACGAGTCGTGTTCAGCATGGTCAATAGCTTTTTCTTGGTCAAATACTCCATGTGCCCACTTTTCAGTGTAAATCCAACATGATCCGTGTACTCCTCTGACTCCAAATCCAAACTTGATTTTTCTAACTTTTCCGTTCTTCGTCCGATCATCCTGAAATCTTCACCAATGTTTCATGTCTCCTCCCAAAGCGCATTCTAACCTCTAGTTTACCTGAAAAGAACATGAAAGTATGCAAATAAGGTTGTTCTAAAGACTAGCATGAATTGGATGAAATGCACGAAAAATGAATAAAAACTATGCTAAATAGATACATAAAATGAACTAAAAGGTATGCAAAAAGGTGCACAAAATGCACCTAACAATAATCACTATAGGTCATCAAAATTTGTGTAACACCCTATCGGTATACTCACCATATCGCCACATATAAAGTACCATCACATCATTTCTACATGTCGTCACAATCACAACATATTGAACTTTGTATACCATATGATCACATCATCATTTTCAATAAAATAAATAAATAAATTCAAATACTCAATTTCAATTAAAATTAAAACATTACATTTTATTTAGAAAGAGAGCTTAAAACATTACACTAATTTAAATAAAATAGTAGGAAAAAAGGTTACATTAAAAGGCAAATTACGAGTTTAATTTTAATCTTTAACATTTTGGATGTGACCACAGGAACAATATTTGATAATTACGCAATTTATACCAAAGCATTGATATAGGAAAAAAGTTTACGATTAACTTGAGATTATTGATATTGTTTCAGCGTCGCATCGATGACCTCAGAATAACATTACTTCTATGTAGATATTTGTTTTTGAGGTTATTGTAAATGTTGTTGAATTTGGTTGTTTAACTTTATATTATGTCATTTTGATAAAAGTACGTCGAGATGTTCGAGATGTTGATAAACACATTTCCCCATTTGGTTGTGGAAGTGGTTTCGAATAGATTGTCAAAATATTTCTCTTCTGGTGAAGGGGTCTTTGGACACCGAAATCAAATCACGAGCTAAAACGGTTTCTTCCTTTTCCTCCTAAGGTTGTTGGGTTTAGAAATTTAAGGGTTGTGCAAATTGTTCCATAACATAGTGTAAGAAATGAATGTATTATGGTTTGTGAAGTAGAGAAACAAAAAAAAATGTGAAATAGATTATAGTAAAATGGCTATATGTATAGGTAAATTGGAGAAAAATGTTTATAGTTGTTTAGCGTTGGAAATATACCAATTTATTGTTATTGGTATCTTGCAATCCATGGTAAATATTACGAAGGATCACATGCATGGGGTGGAGATAGTGTGCATGGTCGTGGTGACTTTGACCCGAGGAGGCCTCATGCCTTGTATATGTTTGGGCCTAATATTTTTTTATTGCTTGTGCATTTCAAACTAATTGTTGCATGAAAAATTGTGTTCATTAAGCTTTATGCTTACCAAAAAAATTAAATATTCTCTACCTTTTGTTTTCATCTATCTTCTTACCAAAAAAATTAAATATTCTCTACCTTTTGTTTTCATCTATCTTCTTACTCGTATAAAATAATGATATGTGGAATCCATTAATTTTCTTTTTTAAACTCTTATCTTGATTTTATTTTTGCCTAGATCTAATAAGTAGGAAGATGGATATGAACAAAATGAATGATAATATTTGATTTCTCAGTTAAAGAATACAACTAATCTATGTTAGTGATGGATGGCAATATTTAAAGAAAAAGAGAGAACTTAAGGTTGTATTAGTCACGTGTTTGGTGGCTTTCCCTGTTTAAGAAACTTTTTTTTAGTTTTCTTTTTAGGTGGTTTGATGTTATTTAGGTTTGGTATCGTAACTTACTAAATTAGGAATGTTTCATAATTGTTGACAAAATCAGGTCAGTAGTTCTTACTAGCTCTGACTGCATCTACCTCTAACTGAAACAATATTTGATTATATATTTGACTAAATGTACATAATGATAAAAATAACCAATTTACCATTCTATTCTAGTGTGTCGGATAAAATTTATCTATTTGTATACAAATTTAACTTCATGAATATTATTAAAAAATAAATGATATTCAACAAATCTATGTAGAATCTTACATATATAAAAGTATGTCATCATTTATCAAAGTAGGTTGCTATAAGTATCAAATATTAAATACAATCAGTTGTTTCATAAGTACAATTACAAGGTGAAAAGACTTATCAGTGACCTATTTTAGTTTTGTATAACTACATTCAACTCGTGTTTTTATTGCACAACTATAACCAACACATTTGCCACATAAATTTTCTAAACCTAAATCTTAGACTTTTATACAAAGAATACGTATTGTTAAATGTACTTGCAGTTGTTTAATACAAGCTTCTAAAGTCAAACTAAAAGTTTCAAAATTCACATTTTCATCTACAATGATGTGTAATTGTAAATCGATACATCAAAGTGTAAACGGCTATGATTGACTTTCAACACAATCTAACGATCCACAATGATCCACATATTATTAATGCAATGTCCTCACTTCTCACTATATATAGTAGAATTAGGTGGTGCGTGTACTCCTCGTTTACCATAAAAGCGAATGGTGAACAACTGAACATGGTACTAATAGTGCTTCTATACTTTCCACTCACAATCAAATATTACTTTTCATCCTTATCATAAAATAAAACAAAATCAAATGTTCACAAAAAAAAATCTAAACAAATGATTTTCTTTTCAACTTTTAAGCTCAATCACAAGAACCAAAAAGAAATATTTTAATTTTAGTAAGCAATAAAAAAAAACGTACACAATCATCTTATATGGAATCATTCTTATACCCAAAAATTAACTTTAATCAAACTTATAATTCCTTTTTTATCAAAAAAAAAGGTACATATTTAAATGGAATAAAATTTACCCCAAAAATCGATTTTAATTAATTAACATATATGGCATTTTATTTTGGCATTTATCTTTGGTGTGAATGTGATGAGGTAGCCTTTTTTCTGTGGAATTTACAGATTGCACCCTTCATCCCCCATGACCTCAAGAGATTAGGTTGGCAGATGTTGATTTGTTGTGAGAATGTTCAGGGACCCATTTTCACTAACAACTTGACTCTTTTCAAAAAGCACACACTTCATCTCCTTCTCCTTCTTCTAATTCTGGATAAACATGAGATCCCTGAGTTTCATAGATTCATGGGTTCAAACATGTTCCGTGTTCAACGGATCTTCGTCATCGTCATTCGTCGGATTGATCTGCAAAACGCCGATGAAATGCAGTAAACCCAATTTCAAAATTCATCCGAGATCCAGAGTTTCTTCTTCTTCTTCTTCGTGTTTCTCTGTTTCTGCTGTGATTACCAAGGAAGAACAGGAAACTGTCAGTGAAATCTCGTCGGATTGCTTCAATTTCAAGGCGTACATGGGGGAGAAAGCTGTTCGGGTTAACAGAGCGCTTGATGAATCCATTTCCATTAAAACGCCACCAACAATCCATGAAGCTATGCGTTACTCTCTCCTCGCCGGTGGGAAGCGTGTGAGGCCCATTCTCTGCATCGCCGCTTGCGAGCTCGTCGGAGGTGACGAATCCACCGCCATGCCTGCCGCCTGCGCTGTTGAAATGATACACACCATGTCGTTGATTCACGACGACCTTCCGTGCATGGATAACGACGATTTTCGCCGGGGGAAACCTACAAACCACAAGGTTTACGGCGAAGACGTGGCGGTCCTCGCCGGCGACTCTCTCCTCGCCTTCGCTTTCCATCACATCGCAAGCGCCACCGTCGGCGCGTCTCCTGAACGCGTTTTGGCCTCTGTCGGAGAACTGGCGAAGTCGATTGGGACTGAAGGGTTGGTCGCGGGTCAAGTGGTGGACATAGCTTCAACAGGTGCAAAGGACGTCGGACTGGACCAGCTTGAGTTCATCCACATCCACAAGACGGCGGCGCTACTGGAAGCAGCCGTCGTATTGGGAGCAATATTAGGTGGAGGAAGCGACACCCAAGTGGAAAAGCTGAGAAAGTTCGCGAGATGCATTGGATTATTGTTTCAGGTGGTTGACGACATATTAGACGTCACCAAGTCGTCGGAGGAATTGGGGAAAACCGCCGGAAAAGATTTACTCGTAGACAAGATGACTTACCCGAAACTAATGGGACTTGAGAAATCACGGCAGTTCTCGGAGGAGTTGTTGGCGGAAGCTAAACAGCAGCTTGAAGGGTTTGAATCATACAAGGGGGTGGCGCCGCTGGTGGCTCTGGCGGAGTATATAGCATACCGGCAGAATTGAATATCATGTAAACCAAGCTTCCGGCGGTTTCCCTGCAGAAAAATGATAGCAAATTAGATTAACTTTTAATTAGTTTTGGTTTTTATGAAAAGAATGATTGTGTCTCTCTTTAAAAGCTTCACCTCTTCATTGCAATTTCATTTTTCTTGATGAATTATTTTATAGCAACTTGATTTATGCACATCATACAAAAGAAAAAGAAAAAGGAAAAAAAAAAAAAAAAAGGCAAATAGAACAATAATTCAATAAGAAAATATCATATGTTTTAAATTCTCATGTTCATTAATGTATAGTCAAAGATTTTACCAACTTCCCACAAGATTAATGCTAAACAAGTAAACATTAAATTTTCATCTGCAATTGTTTTAAATTTTCCTGTTCATTCATTGCAATTTCATTTGTTAGGTTCTACAGTTCTACTCTCATTGATAAAAAGTTTTAGTTTTTATCTTTACCAAACACAATCCAACCTGTCTCTCGATACACCAAACACAGTTCAGCCTGTCTCTCGATAAAAAGTTTTAGTTTTTATCTTACCCAAAAAGATGAAACAAGATAGACTGTGACTCGTGAATGTTTTTTCACATCCTCATCATTGAAAATAACCCTAAAAAGTTTGTTCAATCCTGACTGTGTCTGTGTCTGTCCTGGAAAAGTATCTGGAATCTTGAAATCGAAGCGGTTCGTTTCCCCAAGATGTCCATCCGGATACCATTTCTCTAGCAAAGAGTTCGAGGCAACGAGCGGGGTGTGATCCAGGTATGTACTCGCGTAGCATCTCTAATAACAACCGTTGGATCGTGGGTAAAAAGGATTTATTTATTAATCATAATTATTTTTGATTATATAAAATAATAAAATACCTCCAACCGGGGGTTTCCTGGAGTAATCTCCAGGGATACTGATGAGCACTTGACCATCTGGAATGGATTTTAGTTTCGAAAAATAATCCGAATCCTCAACCTGTAAATATCACACAAAAGTTTAAAAAAGAAAATAAAATGTAATCATTTTTTTTATTTATGGTAAATAAATAATATTGAGATTCTTCACCTCTGGATAACAGTAACCAAGGACAAGGCATTCATAAGGCCTGTGATGAAAAAGATCCAATTCACCAATCAAAGAACCATCTGCTTTCACCTTTAACCAATAATGAGTTGCCAAATATTTCACTCCCCATTTAGGGAATAAATCTTTTTCAATAAATACCCGTAATTTCTCCTTATTTGTTACCCACAATGCTAACAAGGCTCCATCTTCATGAGCAAGTTTTTTAATAGGAAGAGACAAAAAATATCGATTGGGTAAAGTTGGGTACCTAAAAATTAAAATCAATGAGAATGTTTTTAAAAGAATATGAATATGAATTATGAAACGTTACTTCAATTTTTGGTAGGCACTGCTATTTTCCCAAGGTGGATCAACAACAATAAGATTGTATCCACAATCTCGTTTAACTGAAATAAAGATACAAATTTCTATGTTCAATAATAAGCAAAATATTAAATATTTATTAAAAAAAAATAATCAAAAGTACATTGCTATTTATTGCATTTACCAGGGATGAGGCCATGAATCTGCTTCAGATCAGACTTCCACATGTGAATCGAGCAAACATGTGGAGATTGTAAGTCAAACTTATTAACATGAAGTATTCAAGAAATTCGAATAAAGTAAGAAATGGAAGCGCACCATGTAGAAGGAACTCTGTTTGGGTATAATGTATTGGCGATTTAGAAAACCAGCTTCCATGTCACAGTTTGCCATGTTATTGTTAGCAATCAAGCTCCCAAATGCCGGAGTATTTCTTTTTTCATCTGAGGTGATGTGCAAATTAGCCATCGTCTTCCTCGTTACAGTAAGTAGAAAAATCTTCTGTAAATTAGTGATGGAAATTATAACAAGTACCTTGTGTTGGCTTGTAATCCTTATGAGGATATAGAGAAATTTCAAACAATGGAGCTTGCCATACACTCCCAAGCTCCACAAACGAATGTTCATCACTTTCTACCATCGACTGTTCACAATCAGATGTTGGAGAATCGTCATCACTTCTCAATTTCCCCAAATTTAGCAGAAGATCATTAGCTCCGAGCAAAAGTTCGTGCGCCTTCATCAAGAAAGGTTTCGCCTTCTGGAATAATAAAGCGCCCAAATTGACGTGTGAATTGATACAATGATATGTATTGAACTATATATAATTAATTAATGGAAAGTAGTATTATCTAAATAAACTTAGAAGTTTACCTGATGGCGTTCTTCAGCAGCTTGTTCTCTTTCATTAAGCGCAGGAGGTTTTTTCTGTTTACGTTTCCGTTTTCGTTGATTTTTGGAAACCCTAGAATGCTCTTCGCCGGAGGGATTCGGTTCGAAGAAACGAGAGTAGTAAGAAGATGGAGAAACCCTAAAATGACTGTATGAGAGGTTAAGGACGCGAACTGGGTCCATGAATACGGCGTTTGAACCTTGTAATCGGTAAATCCCAGATTTGAAGAACATAGATAGCTTCTGATAATCGTCTGTTATAGCCCCCGCCATTATCGGAGTCCAAGTTTTTGGCTGCCGGACAAGTTTATAAACGAGAAGCTGATAATGGTATCTCTTAAGTCATTTCTACATAATTTAGCCCAAAGCTGAGGCGGAAAAGAATAAATTAAAATTTTCGGCCCAGTTTATAAGTATTGTTCCAAAAGCAATTTCTTTTTTTGGAACATTAAAGTAAATCATTTTTCACCTTTTTTTTTGTTTTATATAATAATATACTATATAATATTTTTTTTAAAAAAATCGGTCCCGCTGAATTAAAAGCTAACAAAAAAATCTAACATATAGGTGTGCATCTCGACCAAGACCCGTACCGGTTTATGTATTTGGACCGGTTATCGTTTCACATACTCTCAACTTTCTTTTACATATTTTGGTTTTTTACATGTTTTGGTTTTTGGATCGGAATTTTAAGACAAAAATTCACTAAATATATTTTATTTTTCTTAACTTGTGAAATTCTTTAAAATGTTATAACTTATTTGTTTGAAATTGGATTTAGATTATATTTTCTCTAATATGTGGTTTTTTGTTTGTACTTCATTTTACATTTTAGGTCCTAATTAAACATTTTTTTGGTTACATATTAATTGCATTACATTCTCCCAAATATAATCGTTTAAATCTAAAAACTTCACAACTTTTATTCATATTGTGTAATTTGTGATATACTTAAATTTGCTTTAATCATTTGTTTGAAGTCGAATTGATAGTATTTTTTTTCAATATGTTGTTTATTGTTTATATTTCATTTTTTATAATTTCATAATTTTTTGTTACATATTCATTGTGTTACAATTCATCAAAGGGATGTCTTCAAGCTGAAATGTTTTCGGTTTTAATGCATTTTGTCTAATTTGTGAAATACTCTAAAATGTCATAAACTACTCATTTTGAAGTCAGTATGATATTTTTTCGAACATGTAGGTTATTTACATGTAGGTTATTTGTTTGTACTTTCTTTTAGGCTATAATTTAACATTTTATTGGTTATATATATATATATATATATATATATATATATATATATATATATATATATATATATATATATATATATATATATATATATATATATAGGAAAAGGTTATTTGGAAAACAAAAAAACCCTAAAAATCATAAAAATGCATAAAAAAATACCAAGACATCACAAAACATTTTTTTGAATTTTTTTTATCAAAAAAATCGCAGCATTTTTTACAATTTCGCTGAAAAAAAAATTGTAAAATAAAATTTCAAAAAAAAAATTTCAGCGATTTTGACGTAAAAGTTGCGATTTTTTGATAAAAAAAATCAAAAAAAAAGTTTTTGTGATCTCTAAGTATTTTTTTATGCATTTTAATGATTTTTAGGGTTTTTTGTTTTCCATAGAACCTATATATATATATATATATATATATATATATATATATATATATATATATATATATATATATATATATATATATATATATATATATATATATATATATAATCTCCGGAATAATTGGTATGAGAGATGAAATGTATTTATTTAGAAAATAATGTATTTATTGGTTGATTTGCTTTGGAGAATTACTTTTGTAAGTTTTCCTCGTAATGATTACTTGTGTTAGTTTTTGATATGTAAGGGGTTATTTCTTTTTTAGAAGCGAAATGTCTAAAGTCTGCGGACCACCTCTGCAATCCTCTATAGCAGAAGAGGTGGAACAAAAGGTTGCAGCATTTAATAAAAAGTATGTTTGTTTTTTAATGTCTGCAGACTGCTGCAGTAAGTTAAAGTAAGATGCGAAGAAGTTTGAAGCAGTTGATTTAGTGCCGCGTACGCAGCACACGCGCAACAATTTTTAAATCGGAAGTTTTCAGGAAAACAAACAGCTGCGAAAAGCCAACTGTTGCGCGTGTGCTGCGCGGCGTAGCAATAAGTGGTCTGAAGTGTTTTTTTTTTTTTAAATAAAACAAACGACACCTAAGTAATTACAATATTTTCTTAAATAAATATCATTTTATGATTGTATAATCGACATTAAAAAAGCCATTTTAAGTAAATTATGTATTCTTTTTATAAAAACAAATAAAAACTCATTGAAAACATTGAAGAAGACAACTCAAATAAATAATCTAAACTTGTAAATGTCAAGAAACTTAGATAACTCATCTAAATCACTGTGCGTTTTACCGGTCTAACATATTTGATGGTCTAACATATTTGATTATTTTCATCTAGTATTTTAAACACACCACTATATTATTTTGGTGGGTTAAATCTTATATATGTTCTGAAATTGTTAACGTTAAACCTAAAGAACCACAAATGCTAAGATCAACGAGTATATAGGGTTACTTGCTATAGTAAATTAGATACTAAGATTTTCAAATTTACTGGGGTTTTGACACACTAAAAATATAATACAGTGTTTTCTAACGGTTGGATGGAAATATGTTAGGTATTTCTAAGTGATTTGAGATCAACTTTACTAAGGTTAAGAAAAATTTTAAATTAGACTTTTAGATAAATATAGGGGTTTTTATATAACTAAAAAACTAATATTTTTTTAAGAAAAAAACTATATGAAATTTTAAAAAATGACAAAAAGAATAATAATACAAGGCAAATTTGTCATATTACAAAATTAACAACTTTATTGTTAGTTCTAGGGGTTGAGCATCTAGACTGAGCCGATCTTGTACGGAAACTAATTTAATAGAATCGAGTGCACTGGAATTAACCTGATTAACCTACACCATTGTAATTTCAATGTCAAATTTTTGGTTGTTTACTCGGTTGGAACCAAACACAACTTGTGATGGAGTAAGGACAACTTGATGAATCCATGGTTTGATTTGTTCAGCTTTGATACTTTGTTTTTTCAAGGCATGCAACTCCATAAATATGTAATCAAACTTGGTTTTTATATATCTACTATAATAAATGAAAATATTTTTACCACATGTCACACCTTCATTGATTTGGCTTAATGTTATTTTGTGGTTATTTTCAATTAAAATTTTCCACATGACAATTTGTGGTTTTTTTCATTTTATCAAATTCCACATAATATTTAAATGTAATAATTATAATAAATGCATATCAATTTAGTTAATTGATTTTCCTTTTAATTTTAAAAATTCTAAATTAAAACCTCATTAATTTCATTTGTTTATTTATCTAAATTACTTGTTTAAATTTAAAAAAGCAAAAAAACACATTAACTTTAATAATTCAATATTCTTCTAATTTTTTCTATAAATTCAAACTTTTAAATGTTTAAAATTTTATATTTAATTTTTTTCTTTTAAATAAACTAATGTAATACATGAGTTTTAAACCTAGTTTTAAAATAAAGTACAAATAGTAGACTAGATGTTGAAAAACACTTATGTCGTTCAAAATTCAAACGAAAGAGTTATGCAAATTTAAAATTATATGAGAAATTATAACTTTCCTAAAACAAAAATTATTTCAAACTTGATTCTCGTGTTTCATGTCATGTAACTTGATTAAGGTGTAACCAAACAATGTATTTATATAGTTTAAAATGAAGTAGAAACAACAATCTACATGTTGAAAAAAAGTTCATATAATTCTAACTTAAAAAAAGAGTTATGCGTTAAAAAAAATGACAAATTATGATGCAATATGAAGAAAAAAAAGTATATACCATTTTTTTTGGCCACGTAAGTCAATAAATATGCAACCAAATAAGATATTTATATAGTTTAAAATGAAATACAAAGGATTACTACATATTAAAAAAATTACAACATTCTTACTTCAAAACGATTATGTAGGTTTTAAAATAAATTATCGATTGGTCTCTATTATTTACCTAGAACCAATGACATCGGAAACAGAACCATTAAGCCACATATAAATGATCAATAACCCGCCCGTATTTTCAAAACAAGTCCGGATCCAATCCCCAACTAATCCATACACTCATCTCTAATTAGTTCTAAAGACATCAGTGATGTCTAAGGTTGGTGAGAGAGGTAGAGAGATGTTTAAGGTTGGTGGGTATGAATAACATGTTATCACACCAAAAAGTTATTATCTCACCTGCCATATCAAAATTGTGTTATAACACACATTGGAGGAAATGATATTCCTATATTATAACATTAAAAGGTGAGAGAGATAAAGAGATAAATATATACAACCAATAAGAGGAAAAAAATATAAGAGGAAAAAAATACTCCTATTACAATATATTATCACGATACATAACACCAAATAATATGAAAGGAAGATACTATTCCTCGTATTATCCATTATTTAATGTCACGTAAACATAACACCTCTCCTCTTTTGCCGACTCTTTGCACTCTTATATCACCAATGATACAAATTTGGGCAACGGGATAAAATGTGTAATTTTTAGGATAATTTATGAAGGAGATTTTGGTAATTGCACCATTCGATTCCCACTGCTACACTGTTTCGTGCTTCAACAAACGATCAGTCAAAAATCCGTATTGCTTTTGGATAAAATCAAAAGAAATCGTCACATCACCCGCCTCCGTTTTCACTCTCTCTTCTACGTGCCACGATCTCATTCGTCAATCCCATCTCTTCAGGATTGCCAAGCACCCCACTCATGTTTTTCTCGCAGCAAAAATCCAAAATTTGTGATCATTTCCCACTGAAAAGTGATCATTTTGGGGTTCCCCAAATGGTTCATCTTTTCGATACATTCAATTTGATCGATAAACCCTTCTCTCATCCCTTTTTTTCAGTTTTCAGTTTCACCCTGTATTGTGGACCTCAATTCTGAATGCATGATGCTAGAGGAAGAAGTAGCAATGGCGGAGCCTTGTGCGAATAATGGTGGTGGTGGGTTTTCTTCTTCTTTTCAACTGCGTAATGGCGTAGGAGGATATTGCAGTGAAGAAGAACTCGCCGTACTTCCTCGCCACACTAAGGTCGTCGTCACCGGAAACAACCGTACAAAGTCTGTGCTCGTTGGCTTACAGGGTGTTGTGAAGAAGGCTGTGGGCCTTGGAGGGTGGCATTGGCTGGTATTTTCATTACCTCGTTAATTTCCCAACATTTAATTCATACAATCAATCAAATTTTGGGTTATTTCTACCTCTAATTTATCGACTATACAATGC